TTGTGTAGGATTCTCCTCTGTGGAACTACCCGGCGATAAAGCCCGCCACCTTGTGTGTCTCGTTTAAATAGGTACAAAGAAAATTCGTCCAATCATAACATAGCCTTTACCCAGCCGTTTTAATTTACTTCTCCTGTCCCCTAATTTACCTTCATTATCGGAAGAACAAACTTTTGCAAAGTTAAATTAGGACCATGAAATTTAGAGAAATGAGATAAATTTGCCACTGCCTCATTTTGGTATTTCAAAGTTGCGTCTACAACTCCACAAAAGTATAGTATATTTATTTTATCGTCTATCACCTACATATAATCGGGAAATGTAATAAAGCCCCAGAGTACGTATATATTAATTGTCTGTAGATTTTAATTGTTAATTATATTGATCAATATTTATAAACTTAGTACCTATGTAAGTATTTAGTAGCAGTAGCGCTCCTTGTAGTCCAGGGAAGTACTGTCACCGTATCTATTCCTGCCGCAAAGCAGTAATGTGAGCATTATTTTGTTCCAGTTTTGAAGGGTAAGGACACTGGTGAAATTACGGCACATGGGGCTTGTCAGCTCATGTCTCAGGGTGACGGGTGTAAAGGCAGTGCCCAGCGTCAGATCTTTGTGGTTAAATCTCTGATCGGCACTGCAACTGTTTCGTACAGGTGTGTAGCTTAAACCAGGCGCACGACTTGTTCATCTCGTCACTTGGTATAAAATAAAAATAAAATAAAAGCGGAACTAAATATACGTAACACGAAATATGAAATGAAATACGTCATATGTAATACGAAACATGTACGTACATAAACCGTATACATACTTCACGCCTTTTTCCCGTGCAAGTCAACCACTTACCCAATCTCAAACTAGGAAATTCTCTATACTATAAATACCAGAACAGAATTAACTATAAGGCACTACCCAGAACACCCAGACCAAATCAGTTTAGAAAAAAATATTACCTAAATTGATACTGCCGGGTATTCAAACCGAAGCGTTCACATAAAGCGCCACCACTAAGTGCAAGCCATTGGGTCACCGACATATTCAAATATAACACTAACTAGTGAATTCCTATACCTACCTGGTCATAACAAATATCTTGTTTAACGCTCTACATATCTACAAAATGTGAATATATTTCAGTTTCATCGACGTTTTTCACCGAAAAAGCGATGCGAGACGGGAGGTGCCGGTCCGATGCGTCGTCGCAACGCTATGATTTCAATGCACCGAGTGCCATACGGGCTATACGGTGTCACAATGTTACGCCGCTTACTTAGAGCGATGCCACACGATGTATTGCATCGGCGTTGCAACGCGTAAGCGGTGACGTTGCGGTGTACTACATATAAATCAAGCGCGGCGACCGACCGCGCACCGTTTCAGCACACCATATAGCAAGTAATAATTTATAATTATTATGTAGTACAACACAGCGTCAACGCTGTAGCGTCGCAGCGTCGATGTAGCGCATCGTGTAGTATCGCTCAAAATTGATTTATAAGAACTTTTGTAATTGGCAAGGTGCTAATATAGAAAAGTTAAGTCAAGTCACGCGACTTCGCTTCCGACCATACAATTGTCTATTGACAACAATCAGTGTGTTTGCTAGCACGCTATTCTATTGTTTCTGGCAGCGATAGTGAAAGTTTCACACAATCCGCGTAAATTAGTGGAACTAAATTACGGATAAAAAGTTTATTGGATTATATAATTGTGATTTGGAATCATTAAATTGCTTATCTGCTATAGTTAGTTATTTACACGCTAGTCTATTTTCTTACTTGAGAAATACCATTTTATGGTGTTAATCTGATTTCATGATTATGAAGACATGAAATTGAGCTATTACCGCTTTTAAAATGTATATAATTCTGTTTAAATATATAACAAATCCAGTGTGTTTCATTCATATGTAAAAAATTGCGATGGGCATCAATTTCAAAATCACAAGCTATTTAGGATTTTAAAGCTTAAGGCATAAATTTGAAATTTGAGTCACAGAAATAGAAGAAAAATTATACCCCATATAATTTCGAAACCTGTTCTGCCATCTAGTGGCACACAACAGAAATTCTTTATTATTAAAAGAGCACCGACACTAACGCGTTCTACGCGTGCACTGGAAAATAAATTGGAGTGGTGTCGGCAGTAATCACTAGATGGCGTTAGTATATATTATAATATAAATTTGACAAGGAAGCCAACTAAAGCTAAACTTCCATCCTACTGTTTACCCACTGTAAGATATCCCACTTGTTAAGTAATTCCAAACGCAAACTGGACCTCAGCACGGCCCGGCACGGTGTAATGTGAATCAGCCTTTATACAAACACTATGTGTTGCACGTAAGAACCACAGATAACAGGCAGGGAACACAGAATTTTCCCAGGCAATCTACGATTAGTAAATGGTAGCGTGTATTTTTGGGAAGGCAATAAAAAAACACCACAATCATTTGCCACAATTATTTAATCTAATGAAACAATAAAAATAATCAGTACATAATGAATTGACGATATGTATAATTGAAGCTACACTAAAATAATACAATACTTAACTATATCTACTTTACAACAGCTCTATTTTTAATCGAAATAAAAAGTTATTTTCTGCTCTATGAACAAAATACATACTTTTGTATTTAATTTTTGTAAATAAATTTGGGTCTTTACAAACTGTACGTCATTAACAATAAATTAGAATGATGTAGAGTTAATTTCTGAGTGGTAGTGGCGAGCAATGACAGTAGAGTCTTAGAGAAAAAAACTACTGTGTTAACAATAACTTGTTCAAATAAATATTACTACTTTCTCATATCTATATCAAATATACCGCGTATATTTGTTTTTTCATACAAACCAACGTTTCGGGCCCTTTACAGGTTTCATAGTCACGGCTGACTGACGACATTGGACCTTTAAAAAATGTGAAGAAACGTTGATTTGTTTGAAAAAAACAATTAAATGCGATTTAGATCCGAAATAATTAAATATATTGAAAGAAATAATATATTGGGCCACCCTTTAAAAAGTAGTGACTGCTACTAAATATATTTTGAACGCAGACCCTAGGGAAACCACGCAAAGTCAAAAGTTACAATATGAACACGGATTTATACGGTTAAATCGAGTTTCTGGGATATTCAACGGGAATTAAATCACTTACAGATATTTTACAACAATTTAGGAGAATAAAACTATCACAGAATATACAGATCGTTAACGTAAAATAAATGTAAATGTATACGACACAACTTGTTCATTTTCTTGATTGCACTTCTAGAGTGATAACTAAATTTTTATATAATTCATAATGCTTTATTTATACAGGGCTATTTGCAAAATGGTAACAATATCGCAGGATTATATTACTAACGTCATAAACAATAATTTCTGTTCCATGACTTAACAAAATTGTATTGATTATATAATTATATTGACAAAACGTCATAAATTTACCAATGAAGTCGGTTAAAAATTAAAATTTATTTATTTAATTAAAAACTAGGTGCCCAGTGGGCGCTGAAGACAATATAACATATATAATATATATAAAATTCAAGAGTCTTAATGGGGCGGAAGCAATTGGGTGGCGTTGATGCTGTCCAAGGGTGTTTCAGCATTTGAAAAAAAAAACCTGAAGAATCTATATGAAATACACTACATATATATGTATATATTGTTCTTTGTGATTTTTTGTGTTAATATAATAAATACGTTTTTTTCAATTATTTTGTGGGCGTTGGTTTTTTTTTATCTTGCCTTAGTGGGCGGTAAGCCAAAAGTTTGGGAACGTATGGTTTAGAGTGACCCAATTAAATATTTTTGTTTTTGTAGAAATATAAAATGTGATGAATTATTAAGTCATGGTATAATGTTGTTATTTTTGATATTAATAGTATATACGTAGTCCTGCGAGGTTGTTAGTATTTTACAAATCGTCTGCTTAAAGGTAAAAAATCTCTAAATTATGGATAAAACTCTTATTAAGTTTATAGCTTTTTTGTTATTGAGTTTCACGTGCAGAAATATAGTGATTTTATTGCCATAGGTATATAAATTAAATATTTTTTGCGGTAAATGACACTTATGTGGTTTTACCTTTAAACATACCAAATAATCATGTAGACTGCAATATGGATAGATTCAGTTGAATGAAGGTTCGTTCTCATAATATTCAAGCTAAAAAAAGAGAAAAGATACATGTCATCAATGACCAAAACGAATACAATGAGAACATCTTTTAAATACTTTAATGAACTATAATATAACACAGTTACATAAAGAAGAGACTATTAGATATATTCTAATCTAGTTCATAACAATATCTTTTATCTATAGACGCGTACAGCTAAAAATTAATAGTAACGAAATACGTCTAGTTCTTCTCTTTCTTCTTATCTTTGGGATTCCTCAGCTAGGTATTTGAATAACATTTTGAGCTTCGCTAAATTGTTTATATACAAATGTTCTTTATAGTCAGGTACAGGTTACATTACAGTACATAATGATTGTAAAAAAATCCACTGCAATCATAGACGATACAAATAAAATACAGTCCGGGCAGAGCGATGTTTTAATTGAAATATTGGGTGTTAATTTAATTGCGTTGCACCCGAAAGGGGTGATTTCACATATTAATAGTTAGAAGTATTACTACAGAGACCCCTCGGAAATCACGATTAATTATTATATTTTTGTCTCTTACTTACCATGTTTTTTAATTATTTTAGTCCCAAACAAAGAGCGAATGATATTTCATTTATAAATATTAATATTATAATTATAATTTTATCAGAGCATTGATGAATGCTAATGCTTGATGAACCTAAATTTAAAATATACTAAATTGATATTTGCATTAGCTTTATTAACATATTCAAGTAACCGTAATTAATGAATATTACTAATTAATAATATTATAACAGTTGAATACTTTTAGTATTTAGTACAGAACTGTAACTTACTTTTTGCGATTTCAAAGGAGTCACTGTAGTAAAATTCTTCTTTTAATGGATGGATTTACTACCTTCGAGTGTGACATAATAGAGTTAACACCCTGTATTTATTTTGGAAGATATTGAAACAACTCGAGCACAAATTTGCAAATCCTTTTTGTGCTAAACATATTTATACGCTGAGGTTCAGTGCAAAAATTGACAGAACTTGTATCCATGTGTAATGTTTCCACGCACCTGTCTCGTTATTTACAAATATTGCCTTATTGTTAATTTATTTTATGAACTACTTGTTATCATACTTTATAAATATTAAATGTGGGAATTATACCTCATTTAATGCTGCATTTTAATCGCACTATTTCATCAATTTGAACTATAGGTTCGTCACACTTTGCAAGTAGCTAAGTGTTAATACGATAAAAAAAACAATATGCATTGACTCTGTTTACATCTAATGTGCAAATATTTTTATAAATTTCTAAATGGCACATACTATGATATTTATTTTGTAATTTCATTGAAAGTTTGTTGATTTTAATACTATACTCGTATATAGTAAATATTGCAAATAGCTATTTTATAGCGGGTAAATACAATGTCTACTTTATTTATATATTTTAACCGGCAAACAATCAGACGTTAAACGCTGCCTATAAACTTTAAATATTTGCGATACTAATGAGTTTGGGATACAAGATCTCAAGTCTTGGGTGCCTGTGGTTGAACTGGCACTCCATATCTTCCAACAGACGAGTTCTATAAAGACAAAGAACACTACATCTAGTATTTTTCCGTTAATAAAACTAATCTCTTCGTGCACCTGTACCGAATTGGACTGAGATGGAACGTTATGTCATATTACCCATGAATGAGTTAGGGTGTATAGTCATTAGCACCTGAACCCAGCCTAATCCGATTCGGGTGGATTAATAGTCAATCAATATATAGGTATAGAATAAGAGTATGAAATTTGCGTATAACAACATCTCGACCTTTATCCAGTATAATTATTTTTGTGCCGAATACTCGTATATTAAATGCTTCACTCTTCGTCATTAAGAAGATCCGTACAGGATTTTGCTTTGGTAGACCTGAAAGCAGAGAAAAAAATGTGTTGCATCTATTCCTTAAGAACGTATCAGTGTAGTACAAATCTAAATACATCTAGAATCAAAGGTTGAAGTAAGAGCCTGAGGGATCATTACACATGTGTATCATTAGTACAATGTTTTTTGTTTTTCAAGAGTATGAAATGGCAAAAAAAAGAGAAAGCAAATCCGTATTATCATAATTGCAATGGTTTATGTTTTTCAATAGGATGGCAGGAGCTGTTCCATGCCATTATTGATATTACCCATATAGAAAAATGACAAAGCAATGCTGTGTTATTATTAGTGCAATGTTTTTTTTTAATTTGTCATGGTGTTGTTTTTGATGTTATTACCCATAAGAACGACATACTCATGGTCAGAATCCTTGGAATTAACAACGAACAGTAGAAGTGTTTACTTATGCTATTTCCTTCTGACCATAATCATTTTAAAGTAGTTAGTTAAGACGATCTCGATGGATTAGCATTTAGCAGTTGAGTGTGCGCACTAGATGAAGAGGGCCAGGGCTTCGATTCCCGGTAGGATTAATTTGGGAAACGTACTTTTCTAAATTTGTTCTGATCTGGGTGACCTTGTTAGTGCCCCGGAGTTAATTTCGTTGCTCTTTTACTCATAGTACTGAAAATTTTCTAGTTTGAGATCAGGTAACGATAAAAAGTAGTGCTTACTGTGAATTTTTGACTCTCCGGCAAATCCTCAGTTCTATGGAGCCGTTCCTCACAGCTTTAAAGAGAGCCAGTGCCTCAACGTGCGCCAGTTCGTGACACGCCTGTCCGTTCACCGCCAACACCTCGTCGCCTGAAATTGCAAATGTTTTATAATTGTAGTTTTATAAATTCTATTGACGAAAATAAAACGACGTGTTTTCAAATTTGAAAACATACAAAATATTTTTTTCTATTTCTGCAGTCAGTCACTTTATTCACTCAAACTTGAGGCATTTTTATTAAGGACTGAATAAATTTGCATGGTACAGTGAAAAATCAAAACAGTTCCCGATAAATATGAAATGTTACCAGGTCCAAAACTGTCTACACAAATTCAGGAAAGTGGGCGCTTTATTTAGAATAATAGGTTTCCACATATAAGTTAGCCCAATGATTCCAGGAAAGTTAAAATAAATACATAGGCACTTAAAATAATTTCGCGTAGTTCCCTGTCGCGATAAGAAATTTATAAATAATTTTAGGAAACCAGCTCTAAATACAGGGATGTGTTATCATTCAAGAATGGAAAAAAACGTTTATCATATATTTAAGTTTGCACAGTGATAAAATTCAGTATCGTACAGTAAAATACATGAGGTTGATAACTTTTTATGTAGTAGCTTTTTTGATACCCTAAAGTATCAATTTATCGCAAATATGTCCATAACGACATTTAATATTTAGAAACTAAAGTTTAGACTTTGTAAAACTAATTAGACGTACTATTAAATAAAGCAGAATGATTACTTGCATTATATTTAATATATTATGCCTTATTACGTTACGTAAATATAAGTAATTAAATCAACAAGTTATTGTGTTAAAATTATATTGAAAAATTGCAGCACGAGAATTATTACATCTCATAAACAAATAATGTGTCATAAACAGTGTCATGAGTCGTGCACAATGCTATTACGTGCTTCTTTGTAAACATTTCAACAACGATAATGTGGCTCTTCACATGCATGTTATCAAAGTGCATAGTCGCTAATCGTAGTGCAAACAGTGTATTTAAAACAAAGTGATCACTTTATACATACCAGCTTTAAGTCTTCCATCCTCGATTGCTTGCCCTTGTGGAAGGATGCTCTTAATAAAGATGCCAAGTGGACCTCGCGGTGAATCGCGTCCTCCCACAATGGTAAAACCGAGGGGTTTCTTTCCATGACCTTTTTCAAACGTAATCGTGTGATATGTGTGTGTAGGTGCTCGCGGTTTCCGGGGAAGCGTGCAAAAATTCGCAGTATTTGGTGTTTTTATGTCAGGGTCACTGTTTTCCCGATCTTTAGTTCTGTCTGAAGCACTGTCCGGCACATCGATGTCAACAATATCACCAGTACAACTTAGTACAATCCCCTCCTTGTTCGCGCCACCGTAACTGACGACTTTCCGGCGCAGCAGCTTGTTGTTCATGCTGCTGTAAGTCGCGTTCTGGCCTTTGAGGAAGTGTGTGTGCGAGCTCGCCGCGCCGTCGCCCGCCTCGTCCGCCGCTGATAGCGCGCTGCGATTACAGGCGGACTCGTCCTGCGAACGCCAACTGTTGATGCCGACGTCATATTTATCTACGCGCTTTTCCTTTCCTAATATTAATGCATTCTCATAATCCACAGAGCTTTCATGCATTAGTAAAATGGTCCTTGGTTTCCCATCTGGTCCTATTTTTTGTCTACAAATTACGATATCGATTTCTGATGTGCCTGATCTCAGAGCTTCTTTCGCTTCGGACATTGTTAAATCGCGAAGTCTTCGACCATTGACGTTTAACAATTCATCTCCAATACGTAGAGTACCTTCTCTGTGAAAAAAATATAAGCGTAAATAAATTCTAAGTGACAAGTATGCATATAATTAAGGGTTGAAATAATTTTTTTACTAACTTTTCTGCTAAACCTCCAGGCACCACGTGAGCTACCAAGTACCCTATATGGCCTTCGTCGGAAAGTTTTGTCTTGGCAATAAATATACCCAATTCGTCACTCGCATTTCTTCTCATTATTCTGACAACTTTGAATTCAGATTGTACTTTGTCTTTCGAAGGTTTTCTGCACGGAGGTATTGGTGGAATTCCTGAGTCACCTGAGCTGGCTTCCCGTTGCCGCATTTTCTGTTTATCAGTCAGTTCTAGATATTGAGGTTCTTCGTAATCATTATTGTTTTTTGGCAAACGCCTGAGTATTTCTTTACGGTCTAGGGATAAAGCTCTTTGGGTATTGCGAGGTCTTGATTTAGGACAATCATTTCGTTCTCTACTCATTCTGCCAGAAGTTCTTGATTTTATGTAACCTTGATCACCAGATATACTTCTGCCATGGCAAGGCACTATGGAATGAGATGCTGAACTTTCACATCTAGAAGATATTCGGTCGCTTTCAAATACAGAAGATGCAGCCGACTCATTGACTAGAATACCAGAATCTGCATCTTCGCAGTCTTGTATTAATACATTCTCGTCATCGCATGATATTTGGCAAGCGTCATCATGAAAAACAGACTGACTTTTTTGAAACTCGTCTAACCCCGGTAGCGCTCCGTATGAAAAGCTGCGTAATTTTGCTTTGACACCACCTCTTTTCTTTCTACTTTTATTTGATCCACTGGATTTCAATACGTTATCATTGCTACCGTTTACATCTTCATTTTCTCCACCAGGCTTATAAAGCTTAGAAAGAAATTTGTTAGATGACTTTAAATACCTGTCAGACATTGCTTTTATTTTGGCAGACAAACACGAACTAGGCCCAATGGTGTCCTTGTTATCTTTAGTCTTATACTTATCAGTCTTTTTTGGAATTTTTACGGATGTCAAGGTTTCATCATATGGTTCATAATCATCATTGAAAATTTGGTCACTAGATTTGGATAGTTTTGCGCCCACTTTTGGTATTGCATGATAACGATCACATTCGGAACCGGAACTATAGCATCTGGTGCCCCTGTTCGTAAATGATCTACCATCTCTCCAGTTAGATTCAACGGGACTAGTTAAATTTTTGGTGAAAAATACATCGTCTTCGTAAGTTTGCATCTTCACCCATGGGTTATGATTTTCAAATTCAATGTGAGCCTCAGGATAATTTGTAGCATATCGACAGTTATTTACGTCAGCTACATGATCGAAACCGCTGCAATCGCTTCCTGACGTTGATGCGGCATCATCACCCTGATGACGTAAAGGACCATTGGATTTAAAACATGATAGCTTAGTGTTTTTTACTTTGTCCAGTAATGGATTCCGCTTTTCTCTATAGACCATGTACTCCTTTTCTAAAGATCCACCACGGTATTTCCGTGCATTTGTTTCTTGAGACACATTATGTAATGAGATGCGGCGAGTAACTTGCGTTTCACCGCTACGATGGCATCTGTGGGGCGATTTGTCCACAATTATTATTTGTTCGCTTAGGTTATAAAAGTTGGTTTCCACAGGGCTGTTGCTTGGACTTTTTCTATGAGGGTAGCGTACTGGAGACATGTCTGTAAAGAAAATAATATTCAAAATCAGAAAAGTGTATGATTATGGTTACACGCAATATAATTGCAACAAAACTTAGATGTAAATTGAAAATATTTTCGTATTTCCAATTAGTAGCTGAAATATGGACAAACCGTTTTTGTTACGTAAGGACATCTTTTTATTTAACTAAACGTCAAAAATTATTTACGATAATGAGATGACATGGCGTAGTTAAGGAAAATTAGGATTTAGGGAATTAGCTGGTTTGTAAAATATTATTTGTATTATGCGCAATCGGTGTGTTTATATTCGCGTGACAGTTTAATCATGTATGCAGTCAAACGTTGATTTGTACCTTGTTATTTAGGAATATTAAACGTACATGCGTAATAAACAAAGCATTATTATTTATACTATTCTAAATGCAAAATTATGTATATTACTGTCATTATTTCCTTCCTTCCGCGTTTTCATTAATGTATTAACCAATATACAGGTAGGTTGTTATTGCAACATTGGTTACAATTTTCCTATACTTATCTACTATGTATTTTGTTCTCTGAATGACAAGAAGAATGCCTTCCTTTACGAAGTATTTTTCCTAGAAATCTTCCAAGACGTGTTGTAAATGTGAATAGATATTTATTATCTGATCTATAATTCTGGATATGTAAACACGTTTACAAAAAATATACGAATAACAACAATTGTTGATACTTTAAGAATTGCAAAAACAATCGTGACAAAACTTTACAGTGTTGTTCCACAGGGTTAAAGTCACCCGGCCGTATTTGTTTCCAATGGTGTTCCACAGGGTATAGTATTCGTTCCGTACTTATTTTGTATAATGTAAGCCTATTCATCTGTCTTGGTTCATTACTAATTTCCTCTTTTCACTGATGAAAAACTTGCGTAAACTTTGCACCGGGTAGGGTTTAGTTATTAATAAACTGTGATTATATTTGAAAACAAAATAGTGGTTTACAAATAACATAGTAGAATAAATGCATAGTGGTCAAACCTATAAAAACTAAAATTTATTAGAAACCTATAAGAAGTAACGTAATGATGACTTCATTATCCGAGTCATAGTGGGTAACAAGCGTAGATGCGGACGATCGAGAATAAGTTACTTTGGTGAAATAAAAAAGTGGGTGCTAAGTTGTGTGAGGCGGTCAAAGAAAAAGTTTTGCAGAGAACAGAGAGAGAGAAAAAGATAGAAGTACATTTAACATAATATAACGTAGAATGTAAATATCTTCACTTAATAAAGTCAATAGTTTAAGAACGTGATTTTATTGAAGGTAACAGATTCCCCCGTCCAATAGGCCATAACACAGTTATGGCATATATTTATTTACTTTTGATGATGATGTTTATGAGATGTAATAAAACTTCAAATCATTTATCTTTTTGAACAACTTACACTAACAGTAGTAATAACTAGTATTATAATGTTCTAAACAACCTCACCAATCAACTGGTTTCAAAGTAGTGAATTCCTTGTAGATACTATAAGTGCCAGAGCAACGGAATTCACTCTGGGGCTAGTGCCCACAACACCCAGATCAGAACCAATATAGAAAAGTTAATTTCCCTAATTGGTCCTGCAGGGAATCGAAACCCTTCATATCCAACGCGCACAGCGCAAACCGTTGTGCTACCGAGGTATAGTTATAGGTATAGTTCAAAACTAGAATGTCAATTGTCAAAAAACAATAGTCAATGTCGAATCGATCACCGCCCGAAAGCAAGCAACGGCTAATCTAACGCTCTACTAAGCTTCGTGGATTATACCAATACCTATTTGTTACAAGTTCCTTAGACTATTGGCAAATCTTAATAAATGCAAATGAGTTAAAATTACTGTTCAGGTTTCAAAAACAATTAGTAAATCGAAGTATCTTGCTAATGAGTGTACGTAGAATACCCAACGTTTTACAATGGTAATGGTCTTTAGCGACAATAAGTATTTACTTGTAAATTAGACGCTTAATGGCGACGTAATTTGCTGAAGAAAGCTAGTATTACTTTGTGTTAGCTAGTGTAACTTATGAATATTATAAAATTTATCGTGTTTAAAATTACTTACGATCAACTAAATGTCATGGAATTACGCTGAATAATCAAAAACACAATAATCACCGGCAGTCATGCGGAATTATGTGTAATAGACTACACTGCTTACGCTAAATTAAAACCAATTATGCTACGATTTGTAATTGCTAACGAATTGCTTTTAGGCGTTTTGATATTTCTGCGTTTTGTGTACAGTATGTAGTTTTGTGTAGTACCTAAAAGGTTTGATACGACGTCTTCATGGCAAAATCTTGATTCATCTCCAATCATCTGAGATTGCTAATATATCTTTTTTATATCAATTTCACTGATGCACTAACCCGTTTTTTATGATACAAAGAGACGGGATGAACAAGTCGTTAGTACGCCTGGTGGAAAGCGACACGCCTATTCATACCAGGTGTAGTGCCACTCAGAGCTTTAAATTGCAAAAATCTGCGGGGCACTGCCACTGCGCCCGTCACCCTGAGAAATAAGTTAACAAGTCCCCTGTGCCTGTAATTTAAACTAACACCCCAGAAATAGGTAAGGTGATGATAGTACTTTCTTAGACGAATTCTTTCACGAGGACCAGCAGTTTGATTTTGATTGCCTCTGCCGATAGGACACTGCGTTTTTTCCGAGTCGAGGCGTATAATATTGCGGATGGGCTACCCAATCGGATTGATGCCGATTTGAATTAAAATCAGGGTCCTGTACTAATGTAGCTATAACATAACTTGCTCTGGGTAAGTACACAGTGCCTACTTTATTGCTTCTGCAAAACAGCACTGCTGTGTTACGAATTGAAGACTGAGAATGCCAGCGCAGCGCAAACACAGGCAAATATCCCATAGTATTAGTTATTTTATACGAATACTACCAAATTAATCACTAATATCCAGAAACAGTAGTTATGACTTTCCATTAGGCGGCCCGTCATGTGCCTTTGTCAATTTAAATACTTTAAAAAAGCTTACAAAAAAATACAACCAAAGTAAGTTGCTTCATATTATGCAGTAACCGTTTTTATGACAGCTGCCTTGAAGTAAAATATACGCTTTGTGTGTTAAACGTCAAATAGTCTAAAAAAACCAACTAGCTCATTGTAAAAACGTAACTGGCATACAAAATCTCATTATGTTTGGTCCTTGGTTTTTATTGAATGCGTATTCTTATCTTTAAGTCGAAGGTTGCGCACTAAATACCTATTTGGATTTAACGACATTGCTTATCTAGGTTTCAAAGGTTGCAGTCCATATAGAATAAACTCTTATATTGACATTAATATAGCACGGATATTAAAGCAAATATTTGCTATGAAATACCAATTCTGGTAGGATTCTACGAATTTACGATGCTAAAATTATAACACTTTTACATTGTCATTTTTAATTTGTCGAAGTTATCTTCTCAGTTTTCGTAAAAGCATTTATAATAATTATACAAAGTTACAAGAAGAAGAGATGAGTATTTACGCCAAAACAAATTCGCACAGGAAATATGTTTTTTCTTTAAGCAGGCTGCGTTAATGACGTCTATGATATTTTTTTTGTAATGACTTTTGTTGGAATGAAAAAAATATATATATTCTAAATGCAAAAGAGAATTGGCTGCGAAGGAAATAATGCAATTGAGATAGTTTGGCTATTACCAACGGTATGTACGTGGCAAAGAAAGACATTGTAGCAAATTTATTTACGCCAACTCAAAAGCGGTTTGTTGTACACATATACAATAGGTATTGAAGAATGGGCACAGTTCGATAGACATCATACGTTTATGAAGGCATTCTTTATAATGATCAAACTTCTTACGTCACATGTCGTAATGGCGTAAAGGTAGAGCTAAATAAGGCTTTTTTTATTTCCTGCTATATTTTCTTGACAATGCGTCATACAGACTGATTTGTTGAAATTTTAATGCAAAATACTTACGTTTTCATGGAATAATAACATCAAAGTAATACAGTAATGAGATCTGAAACTCGATACCGAGTAAAAATTGATTTCTGATCATTTATAGCAGAAACCGCAAATCTACCACAAAATGAATCCGCGTAGAGTTACACAGGTGATTACGATGATTCACTGTGTTTTTTGCAATTATTATAGCTTGCTATGTAACTAAACCCACTATTGCTATATAGGTAGAACGGGTTATAACACTGACAAATCTGTGCATTTCAAAGCAACTAAATTTTATTACACGGAGTAACGGTTGTAGAAGAGATTTAAATGAAACTCGGCGATAATATTACACCGCCGATCAAAGACCTTTCAAACAAAATTACTTTTAAAAATAAATTAAAAGATTCCTTCTTGACTCACAATTGAAATATGGTAACGTAAATATTAATATGTCTGTTATTTAGGTTATTTTATTTCAATTATTGTATTTTTATTCAATATTTAAAAATTATTTTAATACAGTTTTATTATTTGTTAATTAATTCCAGTATTATAAATTCAAATCAATATATTTTAGCAATAGACTTGAATAAAATTTTATTCAAGCTGATCTAACAGACAACTTACCATTTCTATGATTTCAGGAATTTCCTGTAGCGTTAGACACACCTATCGACTCTGGATAAGCCCGACTTTTGTGATACAGCACCTATATTTAACCGACTTCAAAAAAAGGAGGAGCTTCTCAATTTGACTGTATGTTTTTTTGTATGCATGTGACGCGATAACTCATTCGTGAACCGATTTTGATGATTCTTTTTTCGTTGGAAAGAAAATTCCTCAGCAGTGGTTCCATTCACTAAAACTTGGCAAATAGATGTAATTCCACGCTTGAGGTTGGTTTTTTACTGTACTGAGATTATTATCAGTATTTATGTAGGCGTGTAAGATATATACATATATGATATTCTTATTGAATCGTTGTAGTATATTTACTTATATTGTATTATTTTAATTATTACACACTGATTATGACACTTAAATTGTTCTCCCTTTATTATTATTTTAATTTCATTCTATGTTGACATATTTATATCGCTGCGACATCGACCAAGGTTGCCAACTAAGAAGCAGCGCGGAGTATACTCTGCCCCGCTTATGCTGAGGTGGTTACCTGTTCGGGGCATGCAGAATAGCATGCAATGGTTGGTTGTTTTTTGTCATGCCTAATTTTTACTCTGTTTTTCTTTTTTTTTCATGTTTTTACCTTTTCTTTTATGTATTTTTGCTATCGTCGAATAAATGATTTTTCTATGCTATTGATTAACCTGGGCCCAAGTCTGCTTTTAAATGTCCTCGGTTGTGTATAGATAGAGTGTCAATGACAGGATTTTGTATGTTTGGTATTCTGCTAAAAGTGAAGAGTAGTCATCGAGCTACTATTAAACTACCATTGCAATTCTTTGGTTTTTTGCGATTTTCTTTTTGTTTTTCTAGTGAACCTGGTAGCGGTTCTTTTTTGCATTACTTACTCTTGTTATGTAACCAAACCACGTGGCATTTCGTGACAGACTAGAATGTATGAGGGATGTCAGCGTGACATAGACGCAGTACGGGAACAAGGTCGACTGATCTACCAATCGCTCGCTCTATACGACAATCCTCCGCCGTCGCTACCCACATCCCACCACCAAATAGATCTAAAATGCATTTATTTCTGCGCATTTAAGGTCATTGTTCAAAATGTTTGCAAGTGCCGTGTAAGTCAATGGCCTTTGGATTAAATTTGTTTACCGCAATTAAATAAAAATATAGGAATTAACGATTTTTTTTATTTTTTAGTGATTTGGGTTCAGTTTCGGATAGAATGACCTCTGTAAATACGGCGAGAATGCAAATCAACACATTGTATTATATTTAATTTAAAGACAAAATTGCTATGAAATACGAGATATAATATATACGAGATAAATACTATAAATAATATACGAGATGGAAATTTAGATATGCATAGTAATTTCCATGGTAGTTTTAGTAAGGCAAGATCGAACGTTATTGAATGAAATCACTGACACTATGTTGAGACTCAACTGCCACTGCAACTGGATTTTAGCATAATAAAATATTATCATAATTGCAACGCAATCTCAGTGGAGTTTTAATGGAATAACAATGACCAGTGATTTCAAGAAAATTAGCAGATTTGCATAGGACCCCCAAGTATAGGTTTGTTTGTTACCTAAGTTTGTTATGGTTCGACGTAGGATATTTTCCATTCAGATGTGAAACTGTAGGTAATTGGATCAACTGTAATAATTGCCTCCGTGGCCGAACGGTTACCAAGCTTGACTGCCACGCAGAGGTACCGGGTTCGATTCCCGGGTCGGAAGAAATATTTGTATGACCTACATATATTTCTCTCGTGAGTTTGGATGTAATTTGTGGTTGTCTATGTGTGTGTCCATGGCACTTGCGATACAGGGTTTCCCAAGTGCAGGGCTATGAGTGTGTTGCGTTATTATTATTAACTCACCGATTCTTGACCTTCTGGAGTGTATGTGATCGTCCGGGGAGACGACGAGCAGCCTCGGCGGCTCGCCTTTCTTGAACCACCGCATTTCAACTCCGCTCACTTCATTGTTATCGCCTCAGAAGTCTGAAGCAATATAAATATAAAATAATATATAAGCTCTCAATTGTGAATTTCTTTAGGCTTAGAAAGGGTAAGCACCCTGCTAAATCGCATTGGCTTCGGCAAGAACAGTATATAGAGCAATTGACAAATAGGTGGATGCATTTGCATACTGCTGGCAATTGTCGAAATGTCATGACATTAGCTCGGTATATTATATGTATTAAACAGGATATGTGGGAACATAATACAAAACCCATATCTAATAATTCTAACATTAGTTTACATTTTACTGACAATTATGATTAATTGTAAATATATATTATCAGGTTAGCCGTTAGACAGACAGACAGATTTGAAACCCAAGTAATGAAACTAAGAATCAACTTTTCTGGCAACAAGCATCCCTAATTTCATGCTCAGCAAATATAATCTAGTAAGTCGATCGATTACGACCCAAATATATTGGATTCAACAACCAAGGACCACTAGGTACTTTCTAGCGATGTACAGTTTCGAGTACGTTATTAAATAGTCACTTGCTTTTACCATAGTATAATAAGACAAATATGCGCGTCATGTACAGACTAATACAATCGCATAATAACGAAAGGCTCGTGAGACGATCAGCGCTATGCAACGCGAGTGCATCGTGAGATTACGCAAATGTGTGCGTCCATACACGGCACGAGGTGGGAGCGCACACATACAAGCTGCGCTGCTACGTTTGTATGGAGTTATCATACTAGCCTTATTACACTATGCTTTTACGGTGAAAGAAATCACGTGACCATTGAAAAATAATCAACAAAACACTTCAAAGTAGTGCATTAAGACAGCGTCGTGAACAATGACCTAAAATCCAGAGCTCAGTAGTGGGACGCAGTAAGTGAGGTGAGAAAAATTTATTACTAACTTCAGCAGAATAATAATATATAAAAGTGGCTAAAGTGCGGCAAGTGAATGACAGCGATTATCCATTTGCCTTGAAGGGGTCTCCCACGCTGAGCCATCACAGATTTATCTTGACATATTTCTACATAATTTCTTTGCGTAATTCTCTAGAAAGCAGCAATAAGTAATACGAGCATTACAATGTATGAATATGTTGAATAATGTGAGAAAAGTGTATATAAGGTGAAAAACTTAATGTCGGATTAATATTTTAATTAATTATAATTTATTTATCCTATTGTACCTAAACATTATTTTAAAACTGTTAAGAAATAATAATCATACAAATCTTTCTATAAACCTCGCTTTACTTTAATAATATGCCATTGTTTTATTAATTAGCCTCAACTATAATTAATCATTTATCACACACCAATTCTTAAAGAAGGTCACAGAATTATAAAACTTAATGTCGCAACCATATGACACCACGTTTAATGACTGTACACGTCAACATTAAATATCGGTTTCTTAACACAGGCATCTCCATTTATGATAGTATGTGCAAATAAAATTCCAATAGGAAAACCTGTTGCCAATCCTGTACTTGAAAGGTAAGCAAGATTACAAAGTTGCAATACGAGGCAATTCATATCTTGTTCCACATTAATATTTGACATTATCAATATTAGTGCGAATTAAAAAGGTGCATTACTTTTTAATTTATTTAAAATACATTCATATATTCATATATTACCTAGTGACCTGTCAATTAATGTTATGCTTGATATATTTTTATCGAATAAAGTGTTTCTAAATATTGTGCCACACACTAAAGCCAATTTGAAACATTTAATTCCATCATAAAGATCATCTATGATTGTCGGCTTAACCAAGCGCCCTTTAGGTTTTTTTTGCCAAACTTACTTCAAAACGACTTCTACAAATTAGCATATCAAATAAAGAAAGTGTTTTTAGTGGAAAAGTCCATCTAGTTTTTTCGGTTAGCGTAGTTTCAAGCAATGGTGCAGCTACTCCATATATTTATACGGAACAAAAATATTTTCAAATTTTTTTATCATACCAAGTGACGGGGCGAACAAGTCGTGGGCCTAGTGGTAAGCGATACACCTGTCCAGTTTCAATGCCAACTTTAAATCGAATAGATCTGAGGGACACTGCCACTGCGCCCGTCGCCTTGAGTCATAACTTGACAAGTCCCATGTGTCTGTAATTTCACCAGCACCCTTACCGTTGAAAACCGGAACGCAATAATGCTCACATTACCGTTTGGTGGCAGAAATAGGTGAGGTGGCTGTATTTCTGATGTAATAATTCTAATAATTCTGAACGAACTCTCACAAGGAGCTCTGCTGCTACTAAAATACTCTAGTATTGTTCTTATATTTTACAGTGCCGGTGACATCACGTCAAAATCAAAACCAATTGATTACGTAGGTGATTACATGGTGGCTTGGTAATGTAATTATTACTTGGCAGGCTGGTCACAATACGTTGCGAGTGGTTAGTCAACCGGTGAGACGTTCCTCATCAATGGGATGCCGTAAGAATGAAGACTGGAAATAGGTACGAGTCGATTGACATAACTTTTGAACTGATTGCTGTTCTAATTACTCAGACTCTATAAAAGTAGTTAGGAAATTTAAATTTGTAGCTAGGTTTTGCTGTGCAGGTATAAGACTTTTCTATAATATATGAAATATGGTACTGGAATAATCGGAAAGTGAAAAGAATAAGCTGGACAAAGCTTGAAAAATATGGATGTATTTAAACGTAGGAAAAAAGAAATTTGTTCAATACCGTAGAGAATAGGAAATAAATTAAATTGAACCAACTTGTGCGACATAAACGTGTCTTGTGTGTTCTTACTATGGTGTAACTACTAGTAGTTAAATAAAATTAGCGGCAATCGTTATCGTTGAAACGAATAACGTCTTTCCTAGAACGTTAAATTTATAATAAAATCACGGTTAAATATCCATAACCGGAAAAGACTGTTTAACCGAAATCAAAAGATGATTGAGGTCGTTCTTTTTCAAATTAATATTCTGGTGTTTGTGACCAGTGATTAATATAAACCTTGTTATTATAATTCAACCTTTGACGACCTCCGTGTTCGAGTGGTTTGCACACCAGTTTTCATGGTGAGTCCATCTCTGAGGTCCCGGATTCGATCCCCGGCCGAGTCGTGAGAAAAACTAGCTTTCTTCTATTGTCTCGGGTTTGGGTATTTAATTGCTTGCTTTGAGATAAGAGCATCGTACATGATGTTGTTTAATACCTATATACATTTTACATACGCTACAGCCGCACACATGGCATTTATTAATTGTGAAAAATTGTGAATTGTCTATTTAGAATTTGATATGTTTTGCTTCGTTTTTTATGTGATATATATATTGTTTTACATTTGCGTTGCCTTTTTTTTATTTCTTTCTGTGTATTTTTGTGTTGTGGCGTTATAATAAAGGTTTCTATTCTATTGTAATATTTATTTCGATACCGCCACGAAAGTTGTAGTAAGTCAAAATACCATTTTTTAATTTTTAACTTAAATATTAAATCATTTTTTATGCATATATAGGTTTCATATTTAGAAGTAAGGAAATCACTTAATGTTATGGTTACTTTCAAACATGGAACCCATAATATACATAATAAGTATATATTTAAGTTGAAAAGCAAAAAATGGTATTTGGACTTACTACAACTTATGTGTGGGGTATCGATTTATTTATTGTACTTTTTTAGCGTTCGTCTAAAATAACGAGTTATTTAGAGGAAAGCAAAAAAAGGTAAGGTAAAAACGAGTGTATATTAATCATATTGTAATATCGTATATTATATCTAGGACTCCTATTCCTGTCACCAACATATGACAATTGATAACTCTAACATTTCACTCGTATAGATGACCTATTTGCACCGGTAATATATAATAAGTGTACTCACTTATACTGTCATTAATCAAGAACGTTGCACTGATAGAGAATTATATCGCTTTTGACGCCGTTCAAGGCGCCAGTTTAATGTGTACGCAACTCGTTAGTTTGAACTATTTCTGTCAGTTCTCAGTATTGTTTCCTGGTTCACAGCCATTCATCCTGTACAGTTTGACGAGGTTTGGAGAAAATTGAAGATGATTGTTACAAATCAATAATAGTCCAAAATTTAAGACTAACCATAGTCTATTGTATACGCTTCTATAATAAGATTCCGTTGATATTCAAAATTTGCCATTTACGAGGTTTAAAACTACAGTGAAACAAAAGTTTTACACTAAAGGTAGTGAGATAATAAGCCATGGTAGTGACATGTCTAGAACTTGCAGGTTGTCTTGATCTATCGTAATTATTTAAAATAAATATTGTAAATGATAAATGTATACACATTTTTATTTACAAAGAGCAGCCCCTGTAGTGTTTTACTCGTTCTTCTCAGGGAAATCTGCCTTTCGAAAGAGTAGTACTTAGGAGTTAAATCAATGTGACGATTTCAAATGTAAATGTAATGTTATGTTTACGTATGAAATTAAGATTATTTGAACTTGAGTTTGACATTAAACAATTTTTTTCTGGGTCTACATGTATACAAATACACATGTATTTGTTTATTCAAACAAACCAACGTTTCAGGCTCTTTACAGACCTCATGGTCACGGCCTTTTTATGAGACCAAGTGACGGGACGAACAAGTCGTGGGCCTGGTGGTAAGCGACACTTTTGTCCACAACAGTTGCAGTGCCACTCAGAGCTTTAAAACGCAAAGATCTGGAGGGCATGGACATAAGTTGACAAGTCCCTTGTGCCTGTAATTTCACCAGCACCCTTACCCTTCAAAACCGGAACGCAGTAATGCTTACATTAGACACACAGAAATAGGTAAGGTGGCAGGACTTCCCAGGACGAACTCTTTCACGATTCTTACTGCTACTAGGCTGTCTGCGATGATTTTAATCATCAAAGATTTATGTCCAATATTAATTTAAACAACCTATTTAGAACTATAGTTACAAAAATATTTAATACTTAAACTGGTGGTAAGGTTCTAGGAACTGTCCGTAGAATTAGTAGGAAAAAGCATAGCCCAGCCTTTTCTTGAATTCAGTA